AAAAAAAAAAAAAAAAAAAAAAAAAAAAAAAAAAAAAAAAAAAAAAAGCATTCACCGACGCCATGCACGCCGGGATATGAGGGAACAAAAACGAGATGGTAACTGCAAGTGACACAGCACCGAGGGGAGAAGGCTGAGGAGAAAAAGAAGAAGTAGGGTGGAGGGAGGAGAGCGAAGAGAGAAGAAAGGAAAGACTAGCCAGCTAAGTGCTGCCCTCGATAGTTGGCGCCTCTGCCAGCTTCGTCAGCTGGTCCTGTTGATCTTGGAACTGCTGTTGCTGCTGCTGCAGCTTTTGAAGGCTGGTCGTCAAGTGCGCGGGCGGTACTGAGCCAACCATTGCGCTGAACAGCCCAATCTCGGCGTCAATGAGGTCGTCAAAGATAGCCTCCTTCTCGCGCCATGCGCGCTCGCGCTGTGGGCGAATCTCCTCCCACTCAGCTTGCAGCCGTGTAGCCTCCTTGCCAGCCCAGGCGATCTGTCGACGAAGAAGACGGTAGAGGTCGCGCGGGGGTAGAGCGAGCTCCGATTCGTCGAAGTCGAGCTCGGGTCCAAACTCTGGCATCGAGGTCTCGTCAGGATCCTGTGCGTCGGTTGTGATAGGGTTTGGCACGATGGTGATTGCCTCGGTGTGTGGCTCAGACTCGGTTCCTGGCTCTCGGGGCTGGGTCAGTTTCAAGCGAATGCGTTGCAGCTTCGAGGCTGGGGTGCCGGTAGTGCTGCCCTGGGTGCCGTGGACTTTTGAGATGGAGTCAATTGGGCGCATAGTGTCGGTCTCGTGAACAGAGCGCATGTGCTTGGTAAGGGCGTCAGAGCGGGTGAAGTTGCGGTCACATTCTATCATTCATTGTTAGTACTCGAGATCTGTCAAACATCATGTGCCGTTTCGAGGGCTCGAGTCTGGGTCTGAGACAACGTACCGGGTAGAGTGCAGTAGAATGGCTTCTCGCGGGTGTGACTTCTCATATGTGCGCGGAGGGCATAAGCACTAGCATGCGTCTGACCTTTGCGGGTGCAATCGGACCACTCGCACGAGTACCGCTTCTGTCGGCTCCCGATGTGCTCGTTGTGGAGGTGCTGCACCAACCCATCCATGTTGCCAAGGTCGCCAGCGCTGCATCCATCCCATCGGCAAATAGTGACCTGATCGGTACTCTGGCCGCTGTAGTCATCTTCTTGATTGGTGCCAAGGAGTGAGAGGATGCTAGGGGAGTTGGGGATATCGCCAGAGCTGTCGGAGGAGATCGAGGCAGTTGGGGAGGGAGGTGGGTGGATTTCGTCTTGGGCAGAGGATAGAGGAGTCTGTCGGTCCCAGGACGCGACGCCGGTACGACGACGCTTGGAGGGCGGCATGTTGGACATCGAGGGCGAATGCGCGCGGCTCTCATGTTTCATAGATTCATGATCTGAAGTCTCGAGAGATCCCACCGAGGAGAGAGGAGAACCGGGAGAATCTCGTGAAGCCATTGTGGGTGGTATAGCTTGTGCAGAGAAAGGGAAGTGGCAACAAATAACTTAGATCCGTCTATTAGCTACGCTGTAGATGTCGCGCGAGGGAGACCATCGTATCACATCACGTGCTCAGACGTGGAGTCGAGCTGGGTCACATGACCGACTCAGAGCTGGTCACAACTGAGCAAGCGTTCTCTTCCTATTTCTTCCTCCACTGTCCTCGCATGTATGGATTGACCATGATTGTCATTATCATCTATTTACCATTTCCCACATATATAGGGTCTTATATTGACTTATTTACTAATGCACAGACCTCCTCTCTATTAGTGGACTACACTAACCCCATGGTAAGCTCACCTTTGCCCTCTGTACACACCACTACAACATATATATATAATGAAACCTACGCAACACCGAATATCTTCAACTACCCTACATACTACATGATGATCAATTCTGAATTTGCAATCCTGACAATCACCTATTACATGTGAGGTTGTTTGTTGACTCTTCTACACTTGATCTGACCCATACAACAACCCATTCGCATTACAGACATATCTCATTTGCTATGATCTAGTCTAATAAATATAAACATACCTTGCAGGAACTGCCTAGTATCGAGCCCCAGAAACCGTGTGTTCCTCCAAAATAGCATCGATCTCAGCCATCTCCGAATCCGCCAGCATCTGTGCACCGCCCATATTCTGAACCACCTTGTCCTTCGTAGTACCGCCAGGAATGGGAATAATAGTAGGTATGCCAGGCTTGTCACTCTGGGTTCGGATCCATGCCAGTGCGATCTGAGCTGGGGCAACACCTTTGCGAGTAGCAAGGTCATTGACCTCATTGATGAGCTTCATGTTGTGTTTGAAGTTCTCTTCCTGGAACCGGGACAGGTGGTGCCGAATATCGTCGTGGGGAATATCAGCCAGCGAGGTCACAGCTCCGGTCAGGACACCTCGGCCAAGTGGGGAGTAAGCGATAACGGGGATCTCCAGCTCCGCACAGACTTTGGCAATATCGTTGTGGAGGATATCGGTGGACCATAACGACATTTCAGCCTCGACAGCAGCAATTGGGTGCACCTTGTGTCTAGAGAAGTAGTTAGAGTTGAGTTCGTCCATAGGAAGATGAAGACCATAAAATCAGCAATAGAGGGCACATACGCTCGGCGGATCGTCTCGGCATCAACCTCGCTCAATCCAATTCCTCCAATCTTGCCCTCCTTGACATACTCTGCGAGAACCTTGATGGTCTGCTCAACGGGGAACGCAGAGTCTTGCCGTGCACATTCGAAAATGTCAAGCTTCTTCTTGCCATCAAGCAGACGCAGACATTCGTCCACGCTACGACGGATGTTCTCTTCCGAGCCGTCTGGGATAAGCTCGCCTTTCTTCAAGCCACCCTTGACACTAAGAACGACCTTGTCTGCGTTCTCGGGGTATTTGGTGAAGTACTTGTTGAGCAGGTGCAGAGAGTTGTACTCCGGAGTGCCATACAGCTCGCCAGCGTTCCAGAAGTTGGCACCCAGTTCCAGGGTAGTGTTAAGCGTCTCAAAGCACACCTCCTGTGATGGAGGCTGCGCGTTCCAGGTCATTCCTGATTTTATTAGCAAGATGGTCGCCAATTGAGGTGTTTGGGGAAAATCGCACTCATCGTGCCATAGCCAATGGAGCCGACTTCCTTTCCAAGTAGAGAAGGCATGATTGAATATCAAAGATGATTGCGATAGCTGCGTAGACTTTAGGGAGATGAGATAGTTGGTAGAATGTCAAACTTGGTGGGCTCCGATGGGTCTTTTTATGGTTTTTCGAGATAGTGCCCCGCCGTCGAGTTAGAGTTGTCGCAGTTAAGGATATCCCCTTATTACCACGAGCTTCGTGCGATCACTTCGCCCGTCTAGATAGACCCTCATGCTAATGACGACTCCGCACTTCCACGTCCGGCGCTAGCCTGCGGAGTCGTGCTGCTGAGGGTCCGGAGTTGTGATCGGAAAACGAACACGGAGTTAAGGGAGTTTAGCTCGAACCCCATCCGGGAGACTATATGGAGGGTAGAGTGGCGATTGAGTTAATTCAAGCTGCTATTCCTATTACAAACATAGATCCAGGTCTGGAAATTGTCTGCGATACTAGGAAACAAGCAGAAATGAACGTTGAAAGCATGTTATGTTGGATTTGCCTGTCTGTTTATTGAATAGTCGTTCAATTCCTACAAAATACCTTTTCTGCATAACTAGGGGCCAGGTCTACATAGGTAGTCAGTCTCCTAATAATATATCGGTGATGAGCACATCCGTGCCTTCTCGAGCAATAACCGCAATTATGGGCTGGGACAATATTCGCTAGAAAGAAATATAACTACGTCCGACATAGTAGTAACTCGTACATAGTAAAGAATCAAAAACAAGCATAGACTTTCAAGTTCACATTTTCCAGAATCGTAATCCATCGTTTCCTTTTCCCTTTTTCTTCGTAGCACTTCACATCCTTACAAGAAGTCCTCCAATCCAATCTCATCAGAGCTGTTAATCGTGTCCTTCAACCGATGTTCCAGCTCCCTATATACAGCATCAAAGACAGCAGGGAAATCCTCGGCAGTAATTTTCTTATCCCCGTTCCAACCATGTCCAACTTGGATGTTCTCGATCGGTCTGTTGTTGCTGTACTCGTGTTTCACGGTATGAGTGTATCCCGCCCCATTGCTGCCATGAGTGGGTGTGTAACTGGTCGAGCTCGAGTAGATGATGTGCGTGGTTTGTGTTGGCTTCATATCCTCCAGATCCTCCAGGTCCTGTTTGTTCTTGATGCTGGTAGTGGGCGTGGCAGTGGGCGTGGCGGTTGATGTTGTGGTTGGGGTTGGTTCTGTCAGGCCCAGCCCTTGCAGGATGTCATGGACGTACTCCTCAGTGTCTGGAATAAGCCTCTGTGTTTTTATTAGCAGTGTCTTCTTTCAAATACAGAGTGCCACTTCCGAATGACTAACCGGTGACCGAGATTCAAGTTTACCGACTTGTCCTTTTCCCATCTGTTCGTCTGTCTGGTAGATTGGAAGCGCGTTGACAGTAGACACTGCTAGCAACAACACCAGGAGTGAGAGCCATGATGCCCCGAAAATAATTTGCGACATATTGTACGAATTTGAGCGTATTCGTGACGAAGTGGTGGGTGCTTGATAATGGGATACTTTCAGGGAAGAAGCAAGTATCAAGTGTCACAACTATTATAAGACTTTACGCCCGAAAGGTCGATCTGCGACCCTATTTTGGGGAATTACCGAAATTACCGAAATGCCAGTCTTATATCGCTTGGAATGAGGGCTTATAGTGACTTGAATGCCGATGTTTATATCCCTGTATCTTCCCTTTTTCTCGTGTAGATCAATTCAAACTTTTTTTTCTTCATCTGAGATGGTCTGAAGAGACCGTTTGTCCGTTGAGCTTGTCTTGATACTGTAACCAATTCCCTTTTGAGCAAATGGTTCCTTCGCTGACCTAGGGGTCTATGTTGATCCCCATGACAGAACACATTCCACATTCTCCTAATCAAGTGCGCCCTTGTTAGATCATAATGATTCTGCCAAGAAGGAAGGGTCCCCTGGAACTATAATCTAAACGACTGGAATGATAGAGTGGTACTGTTTCATACTTGCGTGCTCATCGGTCTCAACTTGTCCGCTATGCAACTTCTGCCAAATCAACATGTCCTTCTTTTTACAGACTTCCAGAATAGGTGTCAAAGATAAAAATTAGGTTGTGATGGAGGCTTTCGTGGACTTTTTCACTGTTCAAATTATTGAAGTTGTTCATCATAAAACACTATTAACCCTGGGTTTGATGTTCGCTCCATTCCAATAACACCTTATACACCGTCATTGAAGGCATAATGGTTCATCCATCTCTGTAGACAAATTGTAAGCCAATGTCCCCAATTGCTCATGCTTATAATATATATTCAATGAAACTTACCTCATCGTAAGGCTTGGACGAGTCGCAGAACCGTAGATCTGTCGCAAGACGGATGACATTGTCCGGATCGTTGTTGACAGTGGAAGCGTGGATCTTGAACAAAATGTTAGTATAATTAGGCTTTCAGTGTAAAGAATGAGCAGCTCACCATATGAGGCTTGTGCAACACCACATCACCTGCCTCATACGCCGACACCATCCATCGTCGACCATGCTCGCGAGCGAACTCAGTCGGGAACTCTGAGAGCAGGCCAGTGGACATCATATTGGAGTTGAAAGCCGATTTGGCCTCTTCGTCGGTCAGCCCAGCCTGCTTCGCTTTGGTAAAGAACGCTTCTTCCATTTCAATTCCAATTTTGTCACCTATTGCGCAAACCCAATGAGTATACAAAGTTTTCTCCAAGAAACTTTAACCAAAGACAGGGGCCAAAACAAACCGTTTTCCAAGTAGATCAATCCACCCCCGTTGAGCTTGATATCTCCCATGGGGACCCAAGCAGTGATACTCGTCGGATCTCCATACCGCAAGAAGATCTGATCATAGTGCACACCAATAGGCTTCGACCCGGGGAGGTTGTTCCTGAGAAGCGTGCGACGCAGGCTCAACGTATTCTTTCCCCAATCCGAGAAGCGTGCAATGAAATCATACAACGCTGGATGGTTACAGAACTTGTTCGCGTACCAGTCCTGGTAGTGTGCATCGAGAGCAAGATCAACAAAAGCCGCTGCTCGCTCACCACCGGGCTTGCCGTTCCCGCCAATGTGGCCTGCTCCAATGCCAGGATAGTCTAAATGGTCCTTGGCGGGGTCGAAGACACCTTCAACGGGTGCTGTGCCAGGTTTGAGGACTCCTGTTGGTTCCAGGGAGGAAAAGTATGCATCGCGAGCGGCGAGGACGTCCCCACGCGGGAGGATTCCTTTCAGTAAGAGGTAGCCGTCCTCATCATATCGTTTGCGAAGCACTTCGAGGGGGAGGCTTGGCTCTGAGGGGCGGAGGAGGGTGGCATTCTCTGATGTCAAGGGGCCGTCGTTGACAGCGAGGTTGTCTACTTGGACGCCGACCATGTTGGATGTGATGAGTTCAATTCAAATATCGTGAGAACTTAGAAGAAAGTGGTCTGGTTGGGATAGGCAGGATGGTGTCATTTTGTGGCCTTCGCACCTCGGTTGTCCTTGGTCATGGAGGGGGAGAGTATGAACATCAAGGAGAGAAACATCCAACCAGAAGCCAGATAAAAATCGACGCTGACACTGATACCCCACTAATTTGATTGTATGACTTGAGTTGATGTCAGGAGGGTTGGAGAGGTAACAGTAAAGAGTAATATTCCCCGTGATTGGGGAGGAATTGATTACCCTTTTTGGCGAAATGTGGAGGTGCCAATGTTGACTGGGGAGAAAGTTGCTCTTCGGCCTTTCGTCCAAAATTTCTTAAATGGGTTGGGTTGTCCTACGAAATGTGTAAATTATGCATACATCGAGTGCATTGGCAATATCTTGAAATAAAAAAAAAGAGCATGGCCATTTTCGAAGTAAACTGCAATCTCTACCTTCGAGACGGTGCTATGGACATGTTAGGTGAACTTCCGATGAATTCGATATTACTATCAACGCCGGCTTTCTAATGTAGAATGGTAAGGGTTTGAGCTACGACCTAGGCAAATGAGGTGTCGAGCTGCAAATTCTCCATTTCACTGATATGAAGTGGAAAGTTTTGTTTGAAATTCTAGAGATTTGTCTTGCCTTTGCTCATTCGACGCCCTAGACAGGTGTGAATCGCCTTCTATTTCTATATTGTCCGAGGGGGCCATAGTCCCAACCTTGGGTGCGGTGAAGAATCCACACATGCTTCGCTGCCCGTGCTGGGAATTAAGGAAAGCCACGTTGGAGTTAATAGAAAAGTGTTGCCTGTTGAAATTTTTGACAACCTTGACCCAACCAGCGGGGTCGATCTTCTCTTCGTAGTCCCAATGCAACAGTTCATTGTGGGAATAGAGGTTGGCTAAGTGGTCCATAAGATTTTGGTAGTGTTGTCCGCGTGAGGACTTGAGGTAGGTCTCTTTGCAGATTGCCCAATAGACTTGGATGTTACCGATCGTATTGAAACCTTTCAGCATGGAAAACGGTGGTAATCAGATCGTGTATGTCCCCTGCCAATCTTCGCTGGAAAATCAGCCTCCCGACGTCGTGTCCTGCGGTAATGAGTCGGGTCAGAAGGGATGTGACAAGTTGGGATCTGAACGGATTCGTCTCGGTAGTTGAGAAAATCGTTGGACTGAGTTGTTTCGGATCCCCGACATGCTATATCGAGGTTCATTCTTGTTTCCTCCAGGGCTGTATCACACGGAAAGCAGAGTGAGTACACGCCCCCTCGTGTTGGAGAGCCGCCCATGTGTAGGTGTTCCGGGGAGACGGGTCGGCCCATAAACCTGACAAGCGTGCTATGCATAGCGGACGTTGTGTCGCTTGCATTAGGCACCTTGAACTCCTTAAGATGATACTTCTGCCCGCTAGCTAGCTGATACAAATGAGGGGCGACTGTGGCTAGTTGAGTTATATTACTCAAGGTCGCCCGGGCCGCTCTCTCGATGTTTGGCACATGGTTGGGTCCGGAGATACAATATCACACATTTCTCCTCTTCTCGGACGAAATACAACATATCGTATGGAGGGCGAGAGAGAGAAGAACAAAAGCGAATGAGCAGAGTGCCTCCATATCATTCCCCGCTCGTAAGACAGGCACTGTGGCTCATACCTGGCAGAGTTCTCTAACCACGTAAGCGAGTGCGGACTGAGGTCCACTTGAGTGGCATTTTTCTGGAGAACCGTGGGCATAGGGCTGGTGCTTGCGAACCATCGATTCGAAAGTGGCTGAGTCCGCCATCATTGCTAAGCAATACGCTCCAGCGATGTATTCAGTCAATAAGGTTTTCTTCTGAATTCCATGCACACTTACTTGTAGTGTTAGTCACAATGGGTTTGAGGAGAAAGAAAGAGAGGTGAGAGGTACGAGATGAAAGAAGAGAGTAGCAAGTGGGGATAACCATGTACTATTCGACGTTAGTAGTCCTCTACCTTTCCCCTTCTGTGTAGGAGTCAGCGTTTTAGGTGTGGGGTTGATTCTTCTAGGTCTGGTGAAAGTGAGTGAGAAGAGTGATGAGGAAAGAGGAAGCTGAGGCAGCCAGGCCACCAAAAAAACATTTATAGCAAACACCAAGCGCAGATATCCGCTGGTGCTCTTTTAACGTCTGAGACATTAGGAATCTGATCAGGTTAATAACAGCCATTCAAAAGTCGGATAAATGATCCCACATGTTGGTACGAAATCATATATGTAACTCGCACACATTATAAATATCTGTCTATAAATACATAGGTATAGATAGTAGGTCGATAGTGTGTGATACACATAATATCTCTGCATAGAGGGAGGCCATAATAATTGATAGATTACTAAAGACAGAGAGCAGGCTCATTGCCAGAAGCCATTTATATAGCTTCATAGGCCAAAGTAATAAATCTACAAAGGGGCAAAGAGAGGTCTGGCGAACTAAAGCGACATATCCCTGAGTGCAATAGTGTATTGCTTGTTACCAGGATACTATCATATCTTATTAGCCGTCAGGACGGCTAATTGAGACAGTTTTTGAACGAATACAAATATGGTCTGTTACAATCACCCCCTGAAATCAATACTAGTTTGCTTTTATAGACACCCACCACTTCTATAAACAACCTTGCACACGGTGTTTTGGGTGAGAAATTTCCATGACAAGTTCCCACGAGTGTGTTTATAGGAAGAATGCATCGAGATTAGTATCAATGGCCTGACAGTAGAGGGAACATGATTAAGCATCCACCACGCCCGCGCGGGCTTACAGATCGGCTGCTGCTAGACATATGTTCATTGGTTACCTTGGTAGAATGAGCGGCCCCACTGCCTATCTATCCAATGAAAGACTTAGTATATGACAGGGATGTCGGGGAGATCTGTGGGTCCCGCCGCCCGCCGCCCATGAAGAGACGAAGATTTGTCAGGGCCGAAGGGTAATTACCTAGGTAGTTATACTACCCAAATAGACACAATAGGTTTCGGACCATAGGGATGCCTGGTTCTATTTATTTCCCTATCTTCCCTGACTAGCTCCCCATCCTCAAGTTT